AAACTCGTAAGTCAAATTTCTCAATAAAAAAATCAAAATGTTTTATTATTTTACACATACATAGTAGATGATAAGTACAAAATAAAAATAAAGTGAAAATAATTTATAATTGTGTAATTTTAATACACCTTAAAACTTTTTGCTGTTCCTGAACAATTTGATAAAAGTTACTTGGTAAAACATGTTTATAAAAGTCTATACATTTTTCAAAAACGTTATGAATGAGCTGCGCAGTGAACGTAAAGCGCATGTAGTATTTCATCACTAATATACTTTTGGACACTACTATTGATTATTATGATTTAGGTTAGGTTCAAACTCAAAATATTTCTTATCACTAATTGATGGTACAAATATTCGCCGGGTTTCATTATTATTCACTATTTAGCATTACAAAATAAATTATTTTGTCATTCTATTCAGTATTAACTAGTTTTTTTGTGGTTATTAATTAATAATTACTAATTAGTGTTTTTAATTTTTTTTTTTTGCAAACATGACATATCATCTAAGCAATCACGCTAGAGGCTTACCTAAAGATGTTCAGGAGAGGTACATTAAAAAAATAAGTGTACTTGGAGGGTTACGTGATCCCTATATTTTAATGAAGGATCAATGTATCCAGTGGACCAATAGTTTAGATTTAGTTCCAGAAGTAACTTACCCTGATATTTTTAATTATCTAGTTCTTACTAAAAGTGCTTATACGCTTGAAGAGTTTAAAGCTTTCAAAAGCTTAGAAGCTTATAANTATCTAGTTCTTACTAAAAGTGCTTATACGCTTGAAGAGTTTAAAGCTTTCAAAAGCTTAGAAGCTTATAATTTTTTTGCTAGTGGCTGGATTTATAACACTAAATGGTATGCTTTAAATGATGTTGTTCTAGTTGTTGCAGAGGTAAAGATTTTTTTTTAAATTGCTTTTGCTTTTTGATTTCTTATAAATATTAATTTCTTTTAAAATGTTTTTATATCTAAGAATTAGTACCTACTCAAATACAGAGCTTACAGTTATTTAAATATTTTTTAATCCATTTAAAAATTACCTAAATATTTCTGTAAATGCTTAAAGCTTATTTATTATGTTTTGTATAAACTGTAAATTAACTTGTAATTACTTAGGTTGCACATTCACAAAGGCTTAATGATGCTAAATTGTTACCATGGATTGTTTTAAAGTTTTCTGGAGAAGTCGTAGCAGCACATTGTACATGTATAGCTGGGCTTGGGGAATGTTGCTCGCATATTGGCGCTGTGCTTTTTTATTTGCAATATGCTTTCTTAAAAAAAAATGATACAAAGAAGTCTGTAACTGATGTATCTGCGTACTGGACTGCTCCATCAAATACAAATGTAAGTTCACAAAAAATTAGTGAAATTGATTTTAATCAACCAAAAAAAATAGGCACCAACCATCCTAAGTCATATAAAACTAAAGCTGATTATATTAAAAACCTTCCAACGACTATTAATGATACACAACATTTAAATTCATTTTTGACTAAACTGGAGAAAGTTAATAGCAATGCTGCAATTTTAAAGGTTATACCACCCTTTAATTTAAAATTTAAAACTGACTTATTTCCTAAAAGTTTTGTGGGAATGTATAAGGATGAATATGCTTTACTTAGTAAGGAAGATCTTGTAATCATAGGCTCTAAACTAGACTTTTCTTTGACTAAAGATGAATGTGAGAACATTGAACTAATAACTAGACAACAAGCTGAGTGTAAAGAATGGTTTTACTATAGAAGCGGCCGTATAACTGCTTCAAAAGTTAGAGAAGTCTGTTTCACAAAAACATGTAGCTCAAGTATAAGTCTTCTTAGGACAATATGTTACCCATTAGAAAATACTTTTAAAAATCAAGCCACTGTATGGGGAACCACACATGAAAATGAAGCTAAAGCTTTTTATAGTGAAAAATTAAAAAACGACCATATACATTTTTCTGTTATAAATAGTGGACTTATTATAAATCCATGTTTTCCATTCATTGGTGCAAGTCCGGATGGTATTATAAATTGTGATTGTTGTGGTACTGGTGTCCTGGAAATAAAATGTCCATATAGTCTTACACAAAATAAAAAAATAGAAAACCTTGATTGTATATTAAATGGGAAACTGAAGAGAACACATCAATACTATTATCAGATACAAACACAAATGCTCTTAGGTGGTTTTAAGTATGGAGATTTTATTATATGGTCACCTAATAATTATTATATAGAACGTGTTAATATTGATTATGAAATATGCAATGAAATTACAAGCAAATCAAAATGGTATTTTTATGAAATTATTCTGCCTGAATTGCTTGGTCGGTTTTATACTAATAATCAATCCATTGAAAAAACTATACAAAAAGAAAGTGTGGTAAGTAAAAATGGTTCATATCAATACTGTACATGCAAAAATGATACAGGAGGGAAAATGGTGATGTGTACTAAAGAAGGATGCGCAAACTTGTGGTATCATTATACTTGCATTGGAATCAAACGCAAGCCTACAACTAAAAAATGGAAATGTGCAAACTGTAAATAATAAATAAAATAGATTTTACTTTTAAATATATATATGTAGAATTAAATACAGTATTGTATTGAATTAATTGGCTGAGGGTGATTAATAAACGTCAACACAATTATCAAAATCTTATAACATTTAATAATATTTCTCACAGTTACCTACATTACAGTACACTTCACTCGATGATCGTTCACTGACTAATAAGTGTGCACTGCGTCATTTAATAATATATAATACAAATAGTAATAATAATAATAATTATTATAATACAAATAATAATAATAATACCCCACATATATTATAGATAAACATTTTTTAATTTTTTAATCTAATGGTACAATAGAACTGCACATATTAATGAGAGCACAACAAACTGTAACTATAGAATCTAATAAACATGAGTTGTCATCTTGGTGTTTGAGAGTTGTAATTTTCACTGGGCCATTAAGAATTTTATACTTAGATCTAGTGAGTCCTATTATACGCTCTACATGTATTCTAACAGATGCTATTTTCCTTGTTTCCTCAATAGAACATGGATGTAATTGAGGAAGACCCTTTGTAAAGGCAGGTGTTTTCAACGTAGCAAAATGAAAACCTATACTCTCACTTACAGTGAATCCCCTATCTGCGAGTACTACATCCCCTGGCAATAAATTTTTCAAAAACATACAGTTTTCAGTTATGTGTTTGTCACTTACCCTACCACCCCATCCTTCAGATATAAATGACACTACCCCTTGAGGTGTAATAGCAATTAAATACTTAACAGTATTTTTGTTTTTGTAGGAAGACCAAGTTTGTGCTTTAGCTCTTAAATTACTAGGTTTTTCAATTCCGATTTCAAAGCAATCAATAATAACTGCAACTGAGTTACCAAAAGCATTAAAAAATGAACGTGGCATTAGATAACGTAATGCTTCCCTGTCTGGACAGTAAATTAGTTTTTTAAATGCATGTTCTAAAAGAAATATAACCTTACAAAAAATAATTGAAGCAGAACCACAAGTGATATTGAACCTATAGCCTAAATCAACAAATGGCATATTTAACCTTAATTTCATAAGACATAACAATAGTTTTTGAAATTCAGTTAACCTTTGGTTACTAGAAGTTAGTGCAGGTTTAATTTCCTCTAAAATTAATAAAAAAAGATCCATACTCTCTAGGCCAGTATAAAATGCTAACATTTTAGAACGACCATTAAATGTCTCCTCACTTAAATTTAAATAATTTACTTCTGAAGTAAGTTTGTTGATTAAAAAATCTTTCCTAATTACATCTTGTTCTAGTGTCTGTATATCAGCCATGGTAATTGTTGTTGAAGTTGATGTCCCTGTTTCCATGCTTACATCCATATTTTCTCCATGATTAGAATTAGGAACAGCGACAACAGCAGAACTATAAAGAATATTTTTAAAAAAAATATCTAAAATTTTAGTATTTTGAAATACTTTTATACTATTAGATTAAAGTTTAAATGAAGTGATTATGAATAAAAGTATTTCAAATACATTAGTATTCACTATTCAATACCATAAAAAAGTATTTGAATAATACTCAAATACAAGAAATAAAAAAAAATATTTAAATAAAGTATTCAATACATAAAAAAGTATATGAATACGTCTTATATTCAAATACTTTTACTCAGATACTTTCACCTCTGGACAACAGTATCATTTTCCAAGTCATTTGGAAACAAAATGGTTGGTGTCAATGCCATTCGTTTAGTAGCCCTATGGTATCGCTTAATATCTGGTGTAGTTGCAGCACCTATATAAGTTTAAAATAAAATCAAACTTTCATTAGATAAATCTTTACAACCTAAAAAAAATAAATGATAATTTTTTGTTATTGAACTCTTAATTGTAAACTATCAAATGGTGTGATTATATTTTTATTAAGAATGTAAAACTAATACTTCCTTTTATAAAACAAAATGATTAATTACCCTTATTAGTCTTGTAGCCCATGTTAATTGATGGACACCAATCAGGATGTTTGTTATTGGTATAGCAAGCTGGTTTACCTAAAGAACAAGTATTACAAAAATAGGTACATACAAAATACTAAAACACATTTAACTGTTAAATTATACAAATCCTTACCACTTTTAAAATGAGAAGAACATATACGCATAGCATCAACCTGCTTATTCTTTAAATCAACTCTGTGAAGGGATTTCAGCCACATATTTCGTTGGTCCTCCTGTAGTTTTTGAAGATCTGTTGCTGCACTTTTTTTTTTTTTTTGGAAAACGGTAAAATGATACACTTTTATTGGTTGTTTTATTTGTACAACCATAAACTGCACAAACAGTTGGCATATTTAAAACTTTAAAAGTTTAAACAACAAATTAAAAATTAATAACTACACTCGTCCGTACCATACAATTATAAAATCAAAATGTTTGTACCATCAATAAGTGATAACGTAATTATGATAACAGAATGGCAGCCATACTATAATGATCAATACAAGCCACTCATTGCACTCGCCCCATCATAACCTTGACCAATTAAATTTTCAATTTTAAGTCCTAGTTTTCCCATTTCTCTTATAACTGTACATGCCATTCCTTTTCCACTAGCATCATAAATAGGAACAAATTCTAAAAAGTCTTCTCTAATAAAACCATTATCAATATAACTTATACACAAAGACATTTGTTCGACGCAAGATATATCACAAGTTTCATCTGCCAAAATAGTCAAAAAAATTGATTGGTTTACTTTCAACACAATTTATTTTTGAATGAGAGAACCGCATATTTGTATTATTTCATTTTGAATAATGGGACTAAAGTAAGCCGATTTCCCCGATGAATTCATCAAATGACTTTTCAGTATTAAATCACTTCTTAATGCTCGATATCTTAACAAAGCTCTAAAGTCACAGTCATTATTATCTTTTTCGCAATTAAAAATAGGGCCACTATCGTTGTGACCTCTCACTGCTAACTCTTGACGACCACAAAATATAATAGTTTCTATTGTTGGAATTAATTTTAAGCGATTTTCGATGACTTGAGCTTTTTTAAAAGAATCTACTTGTGTAGCTACATCAAATTTTTTATTTATTATTATTATAACAAACTCATCCGCTCTTAACGTTGACAATTTATGATAGTCAGCATTTGAGTGCATTGTAAAACATGCGGGAGCATTTTTCCAATTAATAAACTACCGGAAAGTTATATGAAGTATGAGGCTGCCATGGTTTTTTCAATAAATCATATTTAAGCTTATCGTCAGATATTCTTGTATTAATATATAAACCAATATCATACATTTCAGTTAATTCAATTAAATTAGTTGTATCAGTATTCCTTTCAATTTCGGTGTTTTTAATAATATTTGATGAACAAGGAATATTATCACTATGATTAGGCTCGAGCACAGCGGTTTTTTGATTAAAAAAATGTTGTAATGTAGGTTGTGATGTCATACTTGAATACTTGATAGTTGATCCTTATTAGAACTTGATATCTCGTGGATTGTTGGATCGTAACAGAAATATTATTTTTCGTAATTTAAATGACACTTACATATTATAATTACACACGCGACTCACACAAAGCACTGAATTGGCCACAATATAATGAAACAACCGNGGAAAACGGTAAAATGATACACTTTTATTGGTTGTTTTATTCGTACAACCATAAACTGCACAAACAGTTGGCATATTTAAAACTTTAAAAGTTTAAACAACAAATTAAAAATTAATAACTACACTCGTCCGTACCATACAATTATAAAATCAAAATGTTTGTACCATCAATAAGTGATAACGTAATTATGATAACAGAATGGCAGCCATACTATAATGATCAATTGCGTCCTAGTTAATGGTAATTGAACATAAGGTAATTGAATGTAAGGTAATTGAACATAAGGTAATCATGAACATACTACCAAGTGTTCTAAATTGTCCATTTACAATATAAAAAAATGATCTGAAGTATACATTTTCACAGATACATTTTTTTATATAGTTTTGGACAAAATTAATTCTTACAATTTAACACAGAGTTATATAGATACAGTAATATAGATTACCGATACGCGTATTCATATCAATATGAAGCAATGTATATGGCTATCAGCCATGCATTTGGCTATCATGTACAAAAATAATGGAAATAGGGGAATCCCCGACAACTTTTATTTTATCTTAATAATTTTATATTTTATCGTCGATTGATTGACGATTTCCTCTTACTTGGCATTTACAGTCTACGCTCAGCAGCTTGGACACTGAACGACCGAAGTACTGGACTCTATACGAATTGATGTAAAAATGTGTTTTCAGAACTTATTTAAAAAGCGAAACTTAGAATCGCCGAATACAAATCAAGGTAATTAATTTTTTTTCTTAGGGTAAGGGTGGTTGTGTGTGTATGTGTGGAAGTTTGAATAATTTATGCGATTATAGTTACAGTAAAACCTCCCTATAACGGAACCGCTTGGGACTCAATTTTTTTCCGTTATAAAGAGTTTTTCGTTATAGGGAGGAAGAAAAACTATTGAAAGATTAATAGAAAACTATTGACATTTTCCTTTATAAGGAGGATTCCGTCTAATTGAGGGTCCGTCATAGAGAGGTTTTACTGTATATAAATTTTAATTATTTTGTAGCGTAAGATAATGTTAAAATAATTTATTTTGCAGATCATATCTTCAATATTACTATACTCAAAAGGGATCTTGGAACTGAACGAAAATGTTTAAAGATGAATTTATTGAGTTTAAACCAAGATAAATTAAGCTTCATGAAGGGAAAAAAAAAAACTCTTCTAAAACAAAATCGATAGATCTTATGGTATTTATTACATTCTTTTATAATTTTGCTATTATGAAAAAATTTACTGTGTTGAAACGTTAACTTACCATCGTACAATATAACAAATTTGTGTTGAACATATGCTATGTTGTACGTTGGTGAGACGGAGATAACACGTGTGGGTACTACGTCCACTTAAGAATTTAAAACCGTTTTATTTGCTTAAACAAATTTTTTTTCTTACAGTATTCATGTATACGAGCTTGCGGTATCAGGGATACATTTTTTTATATGGTATTCGACGACAATGACACATTTGACTGTGGTTTTATATGGATAAAAACTACACAAATTCTTGAAATATATGACCTAGTCAGCGCCAAAATAAAAGATTGCAGTTGCAAAAGTAGTTTTTACTTTTTAATAAACCTTGATTGATTATTTAAGTATAAATAATTTGGTTTTTTTTTTAAAAATATTTTCAACTAGTATATTTTCATTTATTTAATTGTTTACAGGAAAACTAATACCAACTACCTACAAAGATTCTGGGTACAATAGTATTGCTAGCAATAAGGTGCTGCCTCCTCCTCGTCCTCCAACAATACAAGTCATACATAGATGCAAAAGTAATTTTTACTTTTTAATTTTAATTTATATATTTATATAATATTTATTACAACAATAGAATATATAATATATATATATATATATATTATCAACAAAAATATGAATTAAAAATTGTAGTACCCCCTATATAAGCATAGCTTGTGCTGAGGCACGGTTCTTATTGTTTAAAATAAATACATAAGAATAATTATTGGACAGTAGTTAATTTACAAACAAATTAAACTAAGAGATTAACGTAACTAACAATATAAGAAATAATAAAAAAATACATGATAACATATTTTCATTGACTTGTGTATAAAATAAATTTACCTTGATTGATAATTTAAATATAAATTAGTCCTGCCACTACCAGCTATCTCTGTTTATATGTTATCACAACCTGTTATTATTCCATATGTAATTAATTATATCTACATTACTGTATTTTTAATCCAATTGCTGTTTTTTTTTTTTATTGAAATATTTTAACTAATAAATTTTCATTTATTTAATTGTTTACAGGAAAACTAAAACCAACTACCAACTACAATGATTCTGGGTATATGGTGCCGCCTCCTCCTCGTCCATTTCAACCACAAAATAAGACTGAATGTCCTTGTTATATTTCTTAAATTATATTTCTTAAATATCAATAAAATATGTAATATATGACTATAAACCTTAAATGAATCTGACTTTTTTTATTTTAGAGTTTAAGTACACAAAAAAATAATATTATAAGATATGAATCAAACGTTTTAGGTTTTTTTTTTTTTTTTTATTAAGTTGATCATCATGCCGAAACGAAGTGCAGAAAAGGTGCACTGTACTGGGTGGCAAAACATTGGTTGGCATACATAAAATGCATAAGAAATAAATTAAATTATACATTTTTTTAAAGGTGAAATATAACAATAATATTATTGTTCGTAGTAATTAAAAAAATATCTATCGTACTATGACAAAAATTAAATTTGCTTAACCGTCATGACCTGGTCTATTAGAAAAGTACAACTTCATAGTTGAGAAATAAAGTTTTTCTACTACAAAACGTCCGCAGAGTTAAAAAAATACGTATTCACAGCTATAAGTAAACAGCCTGGACTTAAACAAAAATCTATGAAAACCTATTTTCTTTAATATTGCACATATCGAATTGATTTTTTTTTTTAAATGTTTAGAACGGTATTCTCACTCATATATATCATGATTCATGTACTCAATTTTATATAAAAAAGAATTTCTTTATTAAAGGAGTTGTCAAATATTAATTTAATTGCTCTGAAAAGGCATTATTAAACAGATAATAATTATCTCAAAATTAAAATTTACCTATTCATCATTTCCACTTGATAAAAGTGTCTTATTAGTGGTTGTACTGTTATTGTCTGATGTATTGTAGCCTGCATGGTTAAATTAAATCTCCCACCTATTACTGAAATTAGTAGAGAATATTAATTTTCGCACTATACCTATCATGTTATATTGTGACTACCTTATTCTCAGAAAATTTAAATCATTTACAAGCGGAAAATGGTACTCCATTTGGTTTTAAAAGAACTCGAAGTAATTTAGTCTAAACATTTTATTAATTAGAAGAATTTTATAACTATACGAACATTGTATTGACATTTTAAAGGAATTTTGATGGGTAATTAGAGGAATTAAATAATTTAAAAAAAAACATCGACTGTTAAATTGACAAATTATTAATTTATTTACTGAGCATACAATATCTCCTACTTTGTCCACTATATCATTTTGTTTTTATGGCATCAATTAGATAAAGGTTGTTCACTGATAACATAATTTGTGCCCAAGAGATCAATATTTAAAGCATTCAAGCATTTTTCCTTTAAACTTTGATAGTTTGGCGTTACAAATACAGACAATTTTTCGTCTTGTTACAGCCAAACCAAAACATTTTATTAGGCATTATTAGTTTAATTTCTTTTACACGATAAGTAATAACATTGGGACAATTAAAACAGGATTTTTAAAAAAAATCAGTTTTATATTATACAAATTATGTTTATTTAAAAAACTCATGATTATGATCATAAAAAAATACTTATGATTATATAATAGTTATAAATCTGCCCGGTACTGCTTTAGTTTTTTTGTAATATTGAAACGAGTTATAATATTGTAACATTTTATTAATCTTAGTATACTCAATAACTATATCCTCAGCTTTAAACTGATTTGATATTTCCCTTTCAATGTTTATTATTACCCAACTGGAAAATAGCTCCTGTTCAATCGATATGCGCAGCCAATTTTTAATTCTCCTCATAGTAGAGAAAGAACCTTCACACGCGTGGCAAACTAACAGGAATTGAAAGAGCCACTTCTAACAAAATGTATAAATTTGGATCAATTTCAAATTATACCTCTTCTTTTACTTTATCAAAATCAATCTCTAATTCTTTGCTTGATCGAAGAACGAAATTTTTTTACAACCATCATTTCCGTTTTCAGATTATTGAACTCAATATTAAACAACTATAAGAAAAGAAATTCTTTTTATACAAAATTAATATATGAATCGTGAGTTTAGTATAAATTATCTTATATTATTGTGGTAGCTACCTAGACATACATTTAGTGTATACCATCGCGATTCTGTTAAAAATCGGTTAAAATTTGAGCATAGCTTGGAGGTCGATAGTGGGAGTGTTCGAAATTCGAGTTTGAGTGTCTAGAAGTCTCAAATCTCACAAATCGGCAATTGATGTCCCCCGTCGCA